TGAAAATATTACCACAGTATAAAGAGGTATGGATCACAAGATTACCACTATGTAAAGAAGTATGGATGAAAATATTACCACAGTATAAAGAGGTATGGATCACAAGATTACCACTATGTAAAGAAGTATGGATGAAAATATTACCACAGTATAAAGAGGTATGAATCACAAGATTACCACTATGTAAAGAAGTATGAATGAAAATATTACTACAGTATAAAGAGATATGGATCACTAGATTACCACAATGTAAATAGGTATGGATCACAAGATTACCACAATGTAAAGAAGTATGGATGAAAATATTACCACAGTATAAAGAGGTATGGATCACAAGGTTATCACAATGTAAAGAGGTGTGAGTTAAAGAATTAACAATCTTGAAGCAGTCAGATAAAGATCTTAAAACACAGAATGAACTTGACAATTCACACCTCATGGATCTCTGTCAACCAGCCCCACCCCCCAAAAAAAATCCAATTAGTGGTCACTCAAGTAACAACAAATGTATCACCTGGAATATCCTAAACGGAGTACTCAAGTTAACACAGGAATGACCTTTGAAGTTATATTTGTCAGATACTCAACATTCAGTTACAAAATAACTTCCATTTTCCAGACCCACGACAACGAATGGAGGTAGGAGAATGGAATAATATTTAGTTTGAAACTCATTTGAAAGAATAACCCATTGTAGGAGTTCCCGAATGTGTGGAACATCTGGTTCTCGTTTGATACCCATAAATACATCGGGAGGCAATGCATAATGATGATGATAAATGGCCATTGTAACGGAATACATTCAACGAAGTTCTATCAATAAATGAGGTATCCCTGATTCGTCAGTCTGGTCAATGGCGGAACAATAAATCTCTGCTGTTTTCTAAAAGGCCTACCACGGCCTGGTGGTTAGGGCGCTCGAATTCCCCTCACTGAACATTCTCGCCCTTTCAGCCGTGAGGGCGTTGTAATGTGACGGTCAATCTTACTATTCGTTGATAAAGGATTATCCCAAAAGTTGGCGGTGGGTAGTGTTGAGTAGGTGCCTTCCCTCCAGTCTATCACTGTTAAATTAGGGATGGCTAGCGCAGATAGTCCTCGTGTAGTTGTGTGCGAAATTCAAAACAAACAAAACCAAACTGTTTCCTAGATTGTCTATGATCTTTCGAATCAAGACAAGCAGAAAAACTGCTTTCCGTCGTTCTTCAAATATAATGATGAAAAACAGAATCGCGCAGTGACAAACACAAGCACAAGTGGAAGGAGACACATTTCCACTAAGGGATATTCCTGCTGCTTCGCTACTGAGCCACAGAACACGCCTTTGTTATGTTTGGTTGAGAACGCAAGGTGTTACTGGATTTCTTCTATTGTTAATCTAAGAAGAGCAAGGTGTTACTGGATTTCTTCTGTTGTTGATCTAAGAAGCGCAAAGTGTTACTGGATTTCTTCTATTGTTGCCCTAAGAAGCGCAAGGTGTTACTAGATTTCTTCTGTTGTTGATCTAAGAAGCGCAAGGTGTTACTGGATTTCTTCTATTGTTGATCTAAGAAGCGCAAGGTGTTACTGGATTTCTTCTATTGTTGATCTAAGAAGCGCAAGGTGTTACTGGATTTCTTCTATTGTTGATCTAAGAAGCGCAAGGTGTTACTGGATTTCTTCTATTGTTGCCCTAAGAAGCGCATGGAAGGAACGAGAGTTCTTCGAATACAGCGTTAACGAACAAAAGAGTTATCTCCAGTGTAACCTGTGTGTGGAACTAGTGACATGTTCACCAGGTTCTAATCTAGGGTTCAGACCACCAAATGTCAAAATGTTTAGGGTTATTAACAGTTCCAATAATTTCCAACACCTAGTAGTTCTCCAATCCGTCGTCGTAGGAAAAATAATTTCAAATTATCTGATATACTTTGATGTTAAACAAGAAAAAAAAGTATCAAATGTAACTTTGTTTTTTTGTTTCGTTCTTGTTCATGGATAAACACAAAGCTATACAATGGGCTATTTGTGCTGTGCCCACCACGATTATCGAAACCCGATTTTTAGCGTTATAAGCCTTCGGGATTACCGCTGACCCAATGGAGGGGGGCATAAAATTTAACATCTGTGAACACATTGCAAAGGACTTCACACAGAGAGATGAACAGTGTTGACCAATCGAATGTCATATTGCTTTTTGTTTGTTGTTTCTTGTCACAAGTTTGAGAAATAATTTTTTGATTTGTTAGAAAACGTTTTTCTGATAATGTTTTCGAATGATGAGTTACAACATTGACTGATAGATGTGGTCTTGAGGAATTGTGTATCTTAATGTAGAAAATGACGTTTACTTTGATTATTGTTTGGATAGATGAGCTACAACTGTGATTAATAGGTGTGGTCTTGAAATTATTCAACAAAAAGACAAACAGTAAATACATCATGCGTAAGAACGTTAGATATTTCTTGACAGTGTGTGGAATTTTATTGGATTGCCTTTAGGATTAGATATCGTACAAAATCGGTACCCATGTATGAAATCATAGTCTCTTGTTAAAGTTGGGCATCAAATATTGTTTTAACTCCATTTGTTTAATTTCCATAACTTGAACATCCTCATTATTTGTAGTTAAGCACAAAGCTACGCAAGGGCTATCTGTGCTCTGCCCACCACGGGTATCGTAACCCGGTTTCTAGCGTTGTTAGGTCTGCAGACATACCGCTGTGCCACTGGGGGCTATACACACTTTTCATTAAATGAGAATTCTGGCTATATACCCATTTTTTCACCCTCTTAGGCCCGGCATGACCAGGTGGTTAGGGCGCTCGACTCGCAATCTGCGGGTCGCGGGTTCGAATCCCCATCACACCAAACATGCTCGCCCTTTCAGCCGTGGGGGCGTTATAATGTGACGGTCAATCCCACTATTCGTTGGTAAAAGAGTAGCCCAAGAGTTGGCGGTGGGTGGTGAAAACTAGCTGCCTTCCCTCTAGTCTTACACTGCTAAATTAGGGACGGCTAGCGCAGATAGCCCTCGTGTAGCTTTGCGCGAAATTCCAAACAAAACAAAACAAATCACCCTCCTATAGAAATATAATTTCACCGAATTGTTGTTTTGGCCTCGATACATTTTGAGCAAATAGACGAAAATTATACGAAACTGTTTTACTGAATCATCAAGACATATTTATCCACAACTTTGTGCCTCATCTTTAATAAAAAAATAATTAATTTAAAGTCCGTATTTCAATATATATATATTTTATTGAGATAAAAAAGACACTTGAAAGATGTTTGGTTCAGACGTACCAATTCCAAAACATTCTGGACTCAAAGAAACGTCATCAATGGCTACGTCACTAAGATGCCGTAAACCTCGTGATGCTTGAAATTGAAGCTGAAAACTGATGACAAATTTCAAATCACTTTCAATTTATTCGTATTGTATGGGTTAAGAAAAATAAGCATATTTTAAAGTCAATGCAAATAATTCCATGGAACAAATTTTATATAGGCAACGATTTTTTTTTCTTTCTAATATTTTTCAACGTAACCCCCCCCCCCCCAAAAAAAAACATCATTAAATGTACATATGAAAAAAAAACATACAAATACTCTTGTCAGATTGGATGATTATATCGACCTTTATTCTTGCCTTTCATAAAGTATTTTTTCTCGACAATATTCCAAAGTATTCTATGAATAAGTAAGTAATCGGATGTTTTAGTTCAATGATCAGTCTGAGACCAAAATCCCGGTGTAGTTTGCTTAAAATACGATAAACTAAGAATTCGACCATTATCACTAGCACACGAATAAACAGGCGTGTATTCTACGTAAAGTCCTGGATTTTATTTTTTAAGTGTTATAACTTTTATATCCATAAATCAACAGGTTCAATTTGCCACACAACGGCTTAGTGAAAAATTTTAAACCCGAAATATTTACCCGTATTGCAGAAAGAATTCAAATACAGTATATTAAGATATCGCTACACTGTACGAACACGTGTAAAATAAGCCTAACCTAAACCGCTGGGGGTTACAGAAGTGTTATATAACATCTATCCTGTTTTACTTTCTGTTTATTTTCACTTACTTGTGAGTGATTTTCGGAATAGTTATGACTTGTCGTTTCCACAGTTCACCCTGATCTCCGTAACTTCTCCACAGAAATATTTTACGTCCTGTGGGGTAACTCGGGTCTAGCTCGAGGCAAAATAGCAAAAGTTCTCCCATGTGGGCTCCATACATGTGATAGAAGAAACGGACCTGAACAGTACCGTTAAAAAATTTACCAAAATGTAAAGATAATTCTACCTTTAAAAACTTGTTTTAGTAGTAGCAGTTAGGTTGGTGAGGCGTATTATCGGTGAAGTTAAAGTATAAGTAAAGATAATTCTACCTTTAAAAACTTGTTTTAGTAGTAGCAGTTAGGTTGGTGAGTCGTATTATCGGTGGAGTTAAAAGTATAAGTAAAGATAATTCTACTTTTAAAAGTTAAAATGTCCAGGCTATTTCACGTATTAGTAATATTAATTAACATAAAAAATCTAAATATTTCCTTTTAATTCCTAAAGTTTCTCATAATCAAATTTAAAGTTCAAGACAACTCACGTAGTTCGTTAAGCTTTAAAAATGAGCGAAATGTATTTATTACCCATATAGCGGCAGTTTATGTTGTTTACTAAGATAAAGTCCGTAGGACGGACTACAAGATGGTCCATAATTTTTAATATCCTTTTTTTTATACGTATATTAGATTATTTGTTTGTTGTGGCGCACAAAGCTACGTAATGAGTTATCGTGCCCACCACGGCTATCGAAACCCGATTTTTAGCGTCATAAGCCCTCAGACTTACCGCTGAGCTACTGAGGGGCATAGATTATGAATCAGCGTGCAAACTTTTACTATAAAATTTAAGTTGTCATTAGATTTATTCGTATATTTTAATAAAGAAGTAGTAACTATTGTAAATACTTTTATATCTCTGAGGGTCGCGGGTTCGAATCTCCGTCCCACCAAACATGCTCGCCCTTTCAGTCGTGGGGGCGTTATAATGTGACGGTCAATTCCACTATTCGTCGGTCAAAGAGTTGGAGGTGGGTGGTGATGACTAGCTGCCTTCCCTCTAGCCGTACACTGCTAAATTAGGGAAGGTTAGTGCAGATAGCCCTCGTGTAGTTTTGCGCGAAATTCAAAACAAACAAACAAACTTTTATATCACATAACTTTTCTATACATTTTCCCCATCTGATTTGAGCAGTATCGTTGAGCAAGTGTAACTGGAAGTGCAACACTTTCAAAGAACGTTCAAAACAATACCAAGTTCAATGACTTTCAGACGTTTTCTGATGGGCCAATTTTGACAAGATATACACAAAGGAATAGAGAAAGCCGCCATTTCACTTAAGTGATAAATCAATATGTACCAACAGATGGCGCATTCTAGATAAAAAATTTCATGATCTTCTTTACTGACACTTGACGGGTAAAATGTGCTAACATTTGACACATATAGTAACGTCACGTGTTAGTAAATGACAATAATGAATTACCTCGATAAATGTAATACATATTGAGGCAATAACCAGTGTTCTTGCCATGGAAGAACTTAAAAATGAAATACGTATGCACAATTTCGATGGTGAACTTTTATGGCGTACAATGCTTTTCTGTATACATTCTCTTCAAGAATCTCTATTTTTTAAAGATAGATAAAATCTAAACTCTGTCTATATATCTAGTTAGCTAGCTGTAAGTCACTAACCTCACAGCTGTTGTAGTAACCCGAGTGAGGTATTATATGATACAGCGGTGGGGGTTCATAGATGGCACTGTTTAGAATAGCTCGATGCCCAAAGGCTGCTTTTCTTGAATGGAACTCGGCCCATAAGTATTTACCTGGCAAAGAAATAAAAAAAATAGAATATCGTAATTCTAGTGAAGTTAGGCTTAAGGTAAAGGAATTATATGCAGGAAACTCGTAAAAGAAAAGTCTGACCATAAAATAGAGAAATACATTAAATTCAGTTATGTTGTGCAGTATTAAAAATACCTTCTGCTATTTTATAGTTTACTTTTTTAAACTGAAACTGTCTTTAGCGAATGATTAAACACTGATAGAGCTTCAACTTAAAAATTGCATTTCGCTGAAGACACAGTTTGAAACATTTCTGTTAATTTACCATTTTTCAATAATCATTAATTATATTCCCTGATAAAATATAGAATATTGTCAAAATGATTAGTCGATTATTTTAGAAGTTTCAGCTTAACACACTTCAGCCATATTTAGAAAGTACAAACCAGTTATTATCCATAAAAAACACATTTTTTGATGAATTTCTACTTACGCTTTCTTCTACTTCACTAATTCTTCCTGGGATTCAAGTCTCTGTCAAATAGAGTTCCTCAGACAAGGGACTAGTTCAGACAAATAATATGCTCGCTCTATTGGGATTCCTTAGTCTCACAGGTCCTTTAGACAAATATGATGGTCTTTTTAATGGTTTTTTTTTCGAATTTCGAGGATCATTGTAATAGATTCAATGCTCTGTATAGTGCCTTTTTTAGGTACTTTGATCCTTTTGAAAAATTCAAGAGTTGTAGCCATTGAGCATCGTCATCCGCATTCAAAACTCGTTTAGGGGTCACTGTTACCCTTTATACTGGTTATCTGGTCATCGTTACCCATAAGGTAATTCTACATTCACTGATCTTTCTACTGTTCTTCCTTTGCCAGAATGTCATTTGGACATATTTATCAGCCTTCTTCAGCCACAAGGATCATTCAAACACATTCACTGATCTGTCTAGTGGTTATCCTATGCAATAATGTCATTTCGACATTTTCATTAGTCTTCCTGAGCCATGGGAATCATTCAGATAAATTCACTGATCTGTTTACTGTTCGTACTTCGCCAAAATGTCATTCCCACATTTCATTACTCTTCCTCGGCCATGGGGGTCATTTAGACACATTTACTGATCTGTCTAGTGGTGATCCATTGCCAGAGTATTTATCATTTAAACACTTTTAACAGTGTCATGCCTGTGGATCTTCCTTAGCCATGGGGAGCATTCAGAACACAATCATTGATCTGGCTACTGTTCATTCTTTGACACAATGTCATTTAGCGCTCTGTTTACTGGATCTTATTTAACCACGGGGATCATTCAGCCACGATAGTGTTTTAAAAACACTTATCTCAGTCAACTTGGCTCCTTCAGCAACGGGCATCGCTTGCTCAGATTTAATGTTTTTTGCTAGCATTCTTTAAAACAGGAATCGTTCAGATATAGTCAGTCAATTGAAATGTTCAAACAGATTCAGTTATCATAATATAGTCGTCTAAATCCCTCTTTAGTATCTTTATCCTAAAATTATGTTTGGTAACACTGTTTAACTTTAAAAAATGCATTAGTAAATGATAATAGTGATATAATAACTCGAGTAAATGATGCTATTTGATGAACTGCTTTTAAAAATATTATACAAAATGAAAGGTGAAACTTAAAAGATATTGATAACCAATGGATGTGCACACCCTAACCTTTTTTTAGCATGTAAAGGCGTAGAATAGCTATTAGCTGTAATTATAACTCAAATAGGTATTGAAATTTTTAACTTGAACGACACCATAATTGTACGTGGGGTAAATTGTGGCCAGGCCAGGCATCCTTAGAACTTAGACATAGACGTCCTAAATTTTGAACTACTGACCAGAGGGAAGTCAATCAATCACCACCACACGCTGATACAAGGTTTGTCGGGATTTGAAAATAATAACTTGATTGACCGTGTAGAGCATATTCAGCGGCATCGCAGCGCAAACCTTGGACATTATGATCCGCAGCCCAGCAAATAAACTAATAACTTATCTTACAATCACCGTATTTTTCTGAATATAAGACGCATCCTTATTTTGACGACAAAGTTTTTGGGGAA